AGACATACCCATATCTATTATAATCATCAGTAAAAGTCACATAGAAGCAGTTAGCATCCCTTGTGGCGGTTCTGAAGGGTCCACACATATCGGTGTGTATGAAATCCAACAGACCTTCACCCCTTTCATAAGTACCACACTATAAGAAAAAGGGGCTTCTGTGACTAAAATTTCTGGGACTGATTAATCAGTCTTGGATATAATGTATATAGGACTGATTAATTAGCCTCAAATATTATCTAGGACTGATTTTAACGTACAAATCATTAAAGACTGGACGATCTTATTCGAGACTAAAATTCAGTCCCTAATCTGGTTGCGTCAGTTTAGGTTTATTAGGAAACACATTAGGGACTGAATTTGAGTCTCAAATAGTTTAGTGCAAAATTTGAATTTTAGGGGAAAGTTATGAGTGACTGAATTTCAGTCCCTGGCAGACTTGGGTCAGTTTTTATTGTGTAAGGAACTTATTAAGGACTGAAGATCAGTCATTGATACAATTGCACCAATTTATCCTACGTACATGAAACTTTTTAAGAATAAATTTCAGTCCCTAATAGACATATACTATTTGACATTCAAATGAACACTTAAGAATGGTTATATCTTGGTATCTAAGACTAATTATTTAGTCGTAGATAGCTTATATCAGAGACTGATGAATCAGTCACGAATACTATTTGGAAAGAAACTTATTATGGACTGAAATCTAGTATTGGAGACTAACCACTTTTGGATTAGAATAGAAATCATTAGGGAGTGAATTTTTAGTCTTTGAGAAACGTTATTTAGTCATATATACGATATATGACTACCACCACTACCATTACCATCACCGCCACTACCAATACCATCACTCACCACCACAACCATTTCAACCACCGCCGCCGCCGCCTCCACCACCAACCGCTACTACAACCACTACCAATACCCCTGCTTTGCTACAAGCTGACATTACCAGTTGACACTGGCACCACCGTCGTCGCCGCCATCACTGCCACCCACCAGCACTTGAGGGTCTTCTCCCTAATTTTAGTTGTTCAAGCCCAATTTATTTTAAATACGTGTTTGTCGATTGAAAGTTGTTGGGAGCATAACCGCTACTCCTCTAGACATGTACTGGTCTATAGGGGATGTGTGTGGATGGATGGATGGATGTGGGGTTCGTGATACGGTAGGGTGAGCTAGAGTATCCGTGTGAGTTTGTAGGTTGGTCAATATTCAAATAAAATAAAAATACATTCTACTTATGACCAAAAAACGGAACAAAAAATAAAGAAATAAAAAAATAAAAAATGACTAGTTGAGTATGAAATTATGAAAAAAAATTAAAACCAAAATCAAAACTACAATTTAAAACAAGTTTAAGAAAATTGAAATAAAAAAATCTAATTAAAAAAAAGGAACGAACATATTTGCTTATGGATTGTATAACAAACATAATCACTTCCCGAAATTAAGGATTGTAGATTTATAAAACGGTTAATCCCACATTAAACCCTTTCAAATCCTTACGAGAAGCCACATCAATCGAAGGAGATAGACACACATCAAAATCCGGGGCTACGATATGCAGTTACTCGTGAAACATTCATCGATCTTAGGTAACTAATATTCTTCTCTATCAATTTGTTTGTTAAGCTTTTGTTATTCAATTTCATGTTGCTCGTGGATTCTTTCTTTAATTATTATTAGCTTAGATTGTTTTACCTCCATTAAAAATGCTCCAAATCATATGATATTTTGGATTGTTTTGCACTAATAAAAATAATAACAGGTGATAAAAAAAATAACCACGAAGGAAAAACAACAGGAACAAGGGAAAAATAATAGGGGACAAGAGAGGTTTAAAAAAGTTATTGGCTAAGTAATTACTTCTGAAATAAATGCAATACTAGATTGAAAACAATAAAGTAATCACTCATATTTTTAAACTAGACATCAAAGAGACCTAATCTGATACAACCACTTTATTTTTTCCCCAAAATACCCCTTAGATTAAAACTATCAGAGGCGGAGTATCTTTAGGGCCAGGAGGGGATTTGCCCCCCCCCCCCTTCCCCCTGATTTTTTTCTTAGAACTAGTCATATTCAGGTAAAGTTTACACAAATTAGGCCCAAAATTAAAATCTTTGGATCCCCCCCCCCCCCCCCCCGCTCCCTGATAGTCCAAACTCCGAACCAAGGTGATCGAGCTTCTAAACCTCGCTCACTGTTTCATCCTTTGTTTTTGCATAGACCAATTGTCCACCTTGACACCTCTCAATCGACAATCTGCAAGTTGACAGCTCCACCTCTCACCTTCGTGCTGAAATCGATCAGGTATGTTCAGTGTTCTCTCTTCAGTCATCTCCATTAGACCATCATCCCCATTCCAGTAGCCCCTCTGATTAAGTTTAACTGATTCGTATCTTCAGTTCCTGATAATGAATGTCTGATTTTACTTGCTATACTCAATTAGTTGCTTCAAATTACTTTTTTTTTTTTTGTTGTTGGACAAACATTGTTAGTTAAATTATTGGTTCGGTGAACCCATTTGCATGAACACGTTCTTAATTTTAATGATAATGGAGTTGGAGTTGTCTAAAGAAGGCCTTCAGATTGTTTTTAGGTTCTTATTATCGGGTTTTTTTTTTTCTAAATTAAGCAAAGGATAGGCTTGCACCTAAACATATCAGTAGAGAGATTGCTTACATCAACCAGAACACGTCCCTCAATGTCCACATGGAAAAAACTAGTCTTACACCGGCCAAAAACATAAAAGGGGCATAAGAGAGTTAAATTGGACAAAAAAATGCATATTCTTTGAACTACCATACTGGTGCAAGTTGTTAATGTGTCATAACATTGATGTCATGCATGTTGAAAAAAATGTTTTTGAGAACATTTTGGGAACTTTATTAAACATAGAAAAGAAGACAAAAGACACTGATAATGCTTATCGGGATTTGCAGGATATGAAAATACGCAAGCATCTTCACTTAGTGAAGAAAAATGATCGTTGGATTAAACCGCCAGCTCCATATGTTTTAAATCTAAAAGAGTGACACCAATTTTGCAGTACAATTAAGTCTATTCGTTTTCCAGATGGATACGCCTCAAACTTGGCTAAAATGTTATTCTCGAGCAATGTAAGATATATGGACTTAAATCTCATGAATGTCATGTATTACTGCAACGTGTACTCCCTATCGCTATTCGTGGGCTTTTGAATAAGCCAATACGTGATACGTTGGTAGAGTTTTCTCGGTTTTTCAAGATTATAACTTCAGTCACATTACATGTGGGAGAGTTAGAAATGCTGCAAACAGAGATAGTTAAGATTCTTTGCAAGCTGGAACGCATATTTCCTCCCTCATTTTTTACAGTTATGATGCAGTTATGCGTTCATCTACCTCAAGAGGCTATTTTAGGTGGAACCATACAATCAAGGTGGATGTATTCGGTTGAAAGATATATTGGCCATTTAAAGAAATATGTTAGAAACAAAGCAAGGCGTGAAGGTTCAATTGCCAAAGGTTATGTTGTAGAAGAAGCTCTAACATTCTGCTCACACTATTTACAATGTGTTGATTCAAAAATAGAGAAGCGTGGTAGAAATGATGATGAAAGAGTTAATGGTGTTCGAGACTATAAATTGGATATTTTTAAATTGAATGGCTGAGGCATTGGGAAGCGACAAACTGTTAGGATTTCGAGTACTCTACTAAAGAAAGCATAGTGGTTTATCTTAAGTAATTGTGCAGAAGCTGAATCGTACATTGAGTTAGTATATTTTACCTTTAATAGTGAATTCGGTTTTTTATTGTCTCAAGGTATTTAAGGGTTATTTTCACCTGATAGGGAATACTTACAACACCTGAAAAGAGACCATCCAAGATCGTTAGATTTTAGCGAATTACCACAATCTATATTTCCAAGTTGGTTTTCATTATGAGTACTGTTACTATAACATTAGCTTATATCATTTTATCATGTAGAAGCATTCAACCAACTCCTACTTTTCTCAATATGGTGAACAGATGAGGAGAATGTATGAGCAAAATTCATCCGCAATTGATGAAGAGTTGTATGCATTATTGCGTGGACCAGATGATCGAGTTACAAAACATGGTGGATACATAGTAAATGGAGTTAAATTTCTTGTTAAGTCACGATATGACCATAGGAAGACTCATAATTGTGGAGTTACATCCCTAGGAATTCACGATAGCGTTGAAGAGGATTATTATGGATATGTTGATGAAGTCCTTGAATTTTCACTCATAAAAGGATATTGAGTTATTTTATTTAAATGCATTTGGTTCGATACCGATCGTATAAAGAAGCACGTGATGTTTGAGCCTCATTTCATCTTTGTAGATACAACCAAACAAGCTTATAAGGAAGATCTGTTTGTCTTGGTAAATCAAGCAAAACAAGTGTTTTATATAAATGATGCCACGCGTGCCTCGAGCTGGAAAATCATAGAAAGGAGCACACGTAGGCATTTATGGTACATACCAGAGAATGAGGATACAAATGATATATTTAAACATGTAGGATCACCGTCACACACAACCCCATTTGAAGCATCTGATTGTGAAAATTTCGAGTTTCACCGAGAAGACGGTGAAGAAGAGTTTGTTGAAGGCGTTGATGATGAAAGTTTTGAAGTTGATTTAGATGATTTTATCAATTATGATACTATCCCCAATGAAGTTATTGAGGAATTACCCGATGAATCAAACGAAGATTTAGATGATAGCAATGAAACAAATTTGGCAGTATATGATGAGTCGGACGATGAATATGAATAAGTGTATTTTTTGTGTTTCTTTTTTGGTGTCTTTAATTTAGTATTTAACACTTTTTGACAACGGATATGAATAAATGTATTCTTTTTGTATGTTGTTGGTGTGTTTTGTAATTTGTTAATTATTTAGAACTTTTTTTGACAATGAATATGAAAAATTTTACTCATGACTAACTTGTGTAAAAACCAAATTTTTGCAGGTAAAATGTGGATATTTCTTGTGTTGATGACGATTGCTAATCTCAGAGGTACGAAGCGTGTAAGGAAAGAACCTCAACAAATTTCGGTTGTGTCAACTGGTGAAGAAAGTGGAAGTGAATTGGATCCAAAGTTGTGCATGCTTCGTACATGTAAACGTGTTATGACATTTGTTGTATCAATAGGTATAACCTTACATGTTAATTTCTGATTACATTTAATTGATACATCCATAATCTGTTAAAGTTGAATTTGGTGACCAAAAGTTAAAGGGTTATAATGAGTGTAGGGGCTATTTGGTAAATGTTAGTGTATAGGGCTGTTTTGTAAATGTTAGTGTATGGGGGGCTGTTTGGTAATGAGTTTAGGGGATGTTTGTTAATGAGTGTAAGAGTTGTTTGGTGATTGTTAATGAAGGGGTTGTTTGGTAATTTTTAGTGCAAGGTTTGATTTTTTTTTTACTCTCATAACAGACATAACCGGTCATAACTAATGATTGAATCTCTATAGGAGCAACTGTTGCGAGAGAAAATACTTGATCAACTTCATTTCAGCCTGCCAAAGAAGAAAGTTTCTCTAGAATAACTTCTAAAACAAATGAACATCCTCTTTCTCAAAATATGGATTCTTTTCCAAACTCAAGTGATACAGGTAACTACGTTTGTGTTTAATATTCTGAGTAATAGTAAATTATATAAATGGTACTTGTCTTATATTAGATTATAGTAATGGGCCATTGTGTTAGTAAATTAGAAACCAGTATTTTGTAATAGTATATAAATTACATAATTTATATTCTACATAATAGTAAATTACTTCAATTGTACTTGTGTTAATTAATGTGAAAATAGCAACAAGACAAAGTGGTTCCACCGAAGATACTCAACGATATGCAATACCGTTAGTTGGTGAAGGAAATGTCTCTACCACGACTCATAACATGGAATCTCAAACTAAGCACTCTCATGCTCCAAGTAAGTAGTACAAATTTTATTATTTTATTTATAACATTAGCAATTAAGAACAATATATATTGTGCAGATCAACGACGAAGGAGAGGCCTTAATATTAATAAAAAGGCTTCGCATATTTTGGACAAGATTGTGGAGAATCAATCAGATGCACAAATTACATTGAGAAAAGATACATATACGAGGAAATTCGTTTGGGGATTTTTGCAGTATATTTTGCAACGGAGGTTGGAATTCTGATGCGAAAGTTTTCTCTAACGGAATTCCATACATTGGAGAAAGTACCGAAAGAAAATAAAGAAGAAATGATCGATAGATTACATGTAAGTTATACTAGAACCGGAATGAAATTTCTTTTTTAGCACTTTTTTAATTCACTCATTTTTAAAATATGCATAAGGAGGTCATATGAAGTCGGTATGACTTGATTCTTTTTCAACACGTAGTTTATTGTTTTTAGTTCATTTTAGATTGCACAAAGTTATATTTTGGCTAAATACTGAATCATCTACTGGTCCGGCAAGACAGCATATCTATGTTGTGTTTTTCTTTTGTTTTTTTCTAATATGTTTCGCCTCATATAATAAAGAAAATCTGGTTCCAGTTCTGAACTGATCCGATTATAAATCTCATCCCTAAAAGGTTAAAATATGTACTAAATGCAGGCAACATTTGAAATACCACACACAAATATAGTTTTGATGGAATGTGTAGATGAGAAAATGCCAAGGCAATGGAAACGCACATGAAATACTTTGAAAGATTTTTAGAAGAAAAATGGAGGAATGACTGATCCACAATTAGCACGATCTAAAATGAAGCCAGGTTGTCGTAGCAAAGAAGATTGGTCTCATTTGTGTGATTATTGGGAGACAGATAAAGCACAGGTAACTTTTTCACTCTTTACATATTCACATCTTTTATGTAATTATTTATTATGTATATGTTAGTAACCATGTTCAATTTAAATTTTATAGAAGTATGCTGATCAAATGAAAAATAATCAAGAAAAACTAGTGATTTCAAGTAGAGGAGATTCTCGATCAATAGCAAATCACAAATTTAGCATGGTAACTAGCGATTTAGTTTATATTTGTATTAACATATTCATTCAACACCAATTATAAATAATTGTTCTTATATAATTTTTATTATTGCAGAAAAACAAAGAGACTCAATTGCCCCCCACCCCAATCGAATTATATCATAAGTTGCATTTTCGTCCTACAAAGGAATGACTAAATGACGAGACACGCATTCAATATGTAAGAATGATTTATCGAGTAATATTAATTTCTGTTTGTAATTATTGATATTGGTGTTATATATAAGTTATTATAATATGTTTTTATGTTGTTTTAGGAAAATATTCTCCAAATGAAAGAGGATGAATGTACCAAATTAGTTTCTGCAAGAGTAAGCATTACTCCAGAAATGGAATATGAAAGAGAGAAAAAAAGTCGTTAAAACCATTTGTGTAAAACATAAAACATTACTATCTGGATGGGAGGCTTCAAGTGGACCTATTTTGAGGACAAAAGATCTACATATCTTATCAGCAGTGGAACCATCTCAATCAGCCTCAATGGATGAAATGGCTTTGAAAAATAAAGTAACTGCACTCGAGGAAGAGGTTCGAGAAAAAAAAAAGTGAAACAAAGTGAGGAGAAATGTGAAAAGATGCTTCAATTTATGATCTCGAAGTTCTGAGATTCTCAAAACATATTATGTCTGCCTGATAAAGAAGGATTTCGTGCATATGATGACATGAAAAACACATCTGATGAAGAGTAATAGTCATGACCTGAAGTTAAAAGTTATAACTTTTTTCAAATATGATTTTACTATTGACACATTGCTTAGACTTTTTCACTTTATTGTTTTAATTTGGAAATGATGTCTACATTATAGTACATTTTCTATTTTAGTATATTTAGTCTATAACTCTAGCACTTACAACTAGTTATGAAAACTAAAATGACATTGTATGTGAGTTTGATATCCTGTCACTAAAAAAGGTTAACTAAATGATATTTCATTTTCGACTGATATTCAGTCACTGAAAAAGCATGTTAGGGACTGAATGACATTGTATCAGAAACTAATATTTAGTTATTGAAAATTCATGTTAGGGACTGAATAACATTGAATCTTAGATTGATATGCAGTCATTAAAAAACCATGTTAGGGACTAAATGACATTGTATCCTAGACTAATATTTAGTCACTGAAAAATCAAGTTAGAGACTGAATGTCATTGTATCCAAAACTGATATGTAGTCCCTAAGAAACCTGTTTAGAGACTGATTGACATTGTATCTGAGACTGGTATTCAGTCCTTGAAATATTAGGTTAGTGACTGAATAAAATTGTATTTAAGACTGATATTCAGTCATTGAAAAATCATGTTACAGACTGAAGGACATTGTATTTGAGACTGATGTCCAGTCCCTAAAAATCTGATTAGAGACTCTTGACATTGTATCCGAGACTGGTATTCAGTCCTTGAAATATCAGGTTAGGGATTGAATAACATTGTAATTGAGACTAATATTCAATCATTGAAACACAATATTAGAGACTAAGCTAGGTAGTTTAGATGATTGATATTCAGTCCCAAATGATATCAAAAGGGCCTGATAGGAGACAAAATAAAGATTTCAATGAAAATATTACAGACTAAATAATATATTATAAAGGGTTAATATTCAGTCTCTAAAAGATAGTATCAGGGACTGATATGATATTAAATTGGGGATTTGAATAAAACAAATTAGAGACTGAATGAGATATTATCTAAGACTGATTTTCAGTCTTTGATACATTGATGAATTATGGACTAATTTTCAGTCCCAGATACAAAAAAAAAAAAAAAAATCGATTATCTAAGACTAGGTCTCGGGGGCTAGCTGGGGACTAGCAAAATCAGTCCCTGATTATATCAGTCTTTGATATCCTTTTTTCTTGTAGTGCCAGTGAAGGGTGACTTGTGTTGGATATCGTGTCTAAGTTCATAACTATATTTGGTATGTACTTGACCCGACCCGGCATGGTCCATTTGGGTTGCACTTCACCCGAATAATTTATGGATAATATTTGAGAATGGTACAAGTTATGATTTATTAAAATATTATAAGTTCTAATATATTAATATAAGATCATATTATTTAATTAGTAGTGATCTATAACTAATCTAGGATTAATTTAGAGATCAAAGATATTACTAATTAAATATGGGATTCTATATATATATATATATATATATATATATATATATATATATATATATATATATATATATATATATATATATATATATATATATAGTGTGGGCTAAAGCTTATTTTGAATGGGAGACATGGGTTTTAGGGATGTAACCCTAATCCTCCACACTATATAAAGGAGGCTTTGGTTCTTGAAATGACACTAGTTGACACTTGTTGAGGTGAGGGAAAATTTCAAGATAGTAGTGACTATTCTCTCAAAGTTCCAAGTTTGTGGTGATTTGTGATTTCCACTTGAGGCATCCACACTATTGGTGCTAGGCTCAAAAACTCCAAGCAATCAACTACAACTTCAAGGTAAGTATTTCTTCTAGCTTTATTTGATTCATGTTCCCCATGCCATGCTAGCTAGGATATAAACCATGGAAAATTAATTATTTGCATGTAGCTTAGACAAACATAGATCCAAGGTTTATTAGGGTTGCATGTACACTTAAGAAGTTTTAGAATGCTCAAAACCCAATAACTTGTTCCTCTTTCCAAGCATACAAGATTCACAAGTGTCATCCGACTTCAAGTTGAATGACTCTAACACTCCATCCTTTTGGAGGTGGGCTATGCTCTTCTTGTTGACATGTCCGCGACGACAATGCCACAAGCATGCCTTGTCCAAAACAATGGACGAATGAATATTCAACACATTATTTCCTAGTTTATTGTAGCACCTGGTTACTGGTATGTATCCTTGATTATTAACTCTCCTTATGTATTGCATTTTAACCTTGGACTCGGTGAGTTGAAGGACTAACTCGCCGAGTAGAAGCAGGTCTAGACTCGGGTTCAACTCTGGCTACTCGGCGAGTAGGGCCGTGGGACTCGGCGACTAGACCGTGTATGGACTAAAACCCTAACCCGGGTGTTTGCACCCTATTTAAATGATCTAACCCAGCCTTCACTACCCTTAGCACTCCCAGAGATCTGTAGAACGAAACCCTAGCCCCCTTTGTGTCCTTGTGGGTGATTTTTAGCATTTTGAAGGTGGTTTGGAGCTTGGGAGAAGAAGGAGAAGGTTGAAGAGTGCAAGAAGGGAAGAGGATCCAGAATATACTCTGTGAAGGGCTTCTATTAAGGTAGAAAAGTTCCTACCTTGACCTTTAGTTCATTGAACCCCCTTTCTTGTCCCTAACAAGAGGTTTTAAGCCCTAAGAACCTAAATCTCTATAAGTTTATGGTTAATGTTCTGCAAGGACTTCAAATTTGGACCTTTAAGACATCCTAGTAGCATAAAGTCTTTGTGGTTGAGGTGATTGAGGTCCCTATTGAGTGTAGGACCTCTTAAAGAGCTTGGAATTGCATGTTTGAGCTCATTGGGCCATGCATGCACGTAAAGTTTACAACTTTACGTGGTAGACATGCCCTAGGACCATAGATCTGTGGTTTTAAAGCATTGCATGTCTCAGATCTGGCCTATTTGTGAAATGGGTCAAGGAACTCGGCGAGTCCCAAAGTGGTACTCGGCGAGTTCTATGAAGATGGTCTTAGACTCGGCGAGTTGGATGAACAATTCGCCGAGTCCTTTGAAGATTTCCTGGAGCTCGCCGAGTTGTTCTTCAAACTCGGTGAGTCGGTACTCAAGTCGGCCCCATTGTCCCGAGTGGTGAGTCAAGGGTGACTCAGTGAGTGGGGAGAAGGACTTGGCGAGTGGGACCGGATTAGTAAGGGAAGGACTCGGCGATTTGACCGTGGACTCGGCGAGTCCAGTCAACTGGAAGTTGACTTTGACTTGTATTTCGACCTAGTCGAGGGTAAAAGGGTCATTTTACCCTAAGAACATCTAGCAGTGTTTGACTGCTCATTTTGTGGGATTTATAGTCGGAGGACGTCCAGAGTAGCAGCAGCAGCAGTAGTAGATAGTCAGCATCTGATCAGCTCAGCAGCTACTTTCGAGGTGAGTTACCTTCCAGTAGCGGTGGGTCTAAGGCCACAATGTCGGCCCACTAGTAGGAGGTGAATGATAGATGATTGTCTTTGTGATATCATCTAGGTTTGCTACTACCTGATATGTTATATGCTAGCATGATATGTTATATGTGATAGTAGTAGAGTTCGGTTGTTAGGACCGAAGGGTAGTCAGACACCCCAGATACGTCTGACAGTATGTGATTATATGTTTGCATGATGGCCTGATATGTTATATGCGATAGAGGTAGTAGGAGGGGACCAATACCCGAGTTCGGTTGCTAGGACCGAAGGGTAGTTCAGGCACCCCAGATATCTCTGATAATATGTTATGTTATGATGTATGTGATAGTAGCAGTAGGGGGTGAAATAGTCCCCGAGGTTCGGTCGTCAGGACCGAAGAGTAGTCAGCACCCCAGAATGGCTTGACATTGGTAGTCAGCACCCCAGAATAGCTTGACACGGGTAGGTCGGCACCCCAGAATGGTTGTACCGGGTAGGTCGGGCACCCCAGAAATGCCTGGCAATATGTATGATATGTGATTGTATGGTATGCAGTATGATGGGGGAACTCACTAAGCTTCGCGCTTACAGTTTTCAGTTTTGATTTCAGGTAGCTCTTCTTCGAAGGGGAAGGAGCTCGCGCTGTAG